AACCCTGAACCCTAAACCCCAACATGATGGAACGCAAGGGAAGTCGTGAAACAGCCCCTGAAATGAGGCACCGAAGCTCGACGCAATGCTGAAGGACAAAGTTGCTCTAAAGGAATCTATAAGGGACTCGGTTTAGGGTTTAGGGTTTTAGGGTTTAGGGTTTTAGGGTTTAGGGTTTAGGGTTTAGGGTTTAGGGTCTAGGGTTTTGGGTTTCGGGTTCAGGGTCTAGGGTTTAGGGCTCAGGGTTCCGGGTTTGGGGCTGTATGCGTACAAAGCACCCTGCCTGAAAGCCCCGAAGCCCAAACCCCCACAAGAATAGGAGGCCCCCAACCTCAAAATGCTGAAGAAACCAAAAGAAGTTCTACTGTAGGGACCCCAAACAAGCCTAGTTTGTCTTAAAGGTTTAGGGTTATGTTGGGCCCTACACCTGCAACCCGGTCCAAAATCCCAGACCGCAACAATCTACAAGCCCGAATAATTAGACTGGGACTTTATCATGCTATGCGCACATCGGGGAACCGTGACAAAAAAGCAGCTTCTCCACCAAGCCCTTGTAAAACCCATGAAACACCCAACACAGCCCTTGTGGAGCCTATGAGACCTCACATCAATAACCCCAAACCCATAAACCCTTGAACTCTTGAACCCTAGACCCCACACCCTTAAACCCAACTGCCTCAAACCCCTAAACCCCAAACACGAAACCCGTGCAGAACCCGTATGGGACCTGATACCCTAAACCCCTAAACCCTTCTGGGGACGTAATAAGTAGTTAACTTACGGTCTTAAACCCTAAACGCAAAGCCCTAAACCTCTTAAGCCCCTAAGCCTTAAACCCCAAACTCTTAAACTCGAAACCCTAAGCCCTAAACCTCAAACTCTTAAACATCTAAGCCTTAAACCCTAAACTCTTAAACGCTAAAACCTAAGCCCTTAAACTCTTAAACCCCTAAGCCTTAAACCTAAACTCTTAAGCCCTAAGCCCTAAGCCCTAAACCTTAAACTCTTCAACCCCTAAGCCTTAAACCTAACCCTTCTTCAACCCTCAAAGGACGAGCCGAGGGGCGGCGATGGTTGGGTTCAGCGGGCTCAGGCCCCTAAGTACCTGGTCGGAGCCACAGTTCTCTGAGGGTTCTTTAGGGTTTAGGGTTTAGGGTTCAGGGTTTAGGGTTCAGGGTTTAGGGTTCAGGGTTTAGGGTTTAGGGTTTAGGGTTCTCTGAGGGTTCTTTAGGGTTTCGGGTTTAGGGTGTGTTTTCGTTTGAGGATTTAAAGCTTTTAGGGTATAGATGGTTTAGGGCTGAGAAGGGCGAGGGTTCAGGGTTTAGGGTTTCATATCGCTGCAGGGAAGGGCTAAAGGGGGCTTGGGATTTAAGGTTTGCGGTTTAGGGCTCTGCGCTTGCTTCTGACATGCTGCTTGCCTCTCTTTCGTCTTTCTCTCTCTCTCTCTCTCTCTCTCTCCCTCTCTTAAGGTGGGGGTTGGCAAGGGCGGGTGTTTGGGGCAAAGGGGGTGGCAGCAAGGCCCAGGCCGGAGATTTAGGTGATCGCGTAGAGGGCGAGGTAGGAATTCTGCTGAGATCATACTTGGGGTGTAGGATACGGGCCGTACTTCATACGAACAGACAGAGGCGGCCCTGGGAGAAGAGCCAGACTTCGAGCACCGTGGCTTGAGAATGTCTGAGACGGCACGTTTAGGGAGGCCACCCACTGCCCTTTTCGCCCTCCTACAAACCCTAAACCCTAAACCCTAAACCCTAAACCCTAAACCCTAAACCCGACCTCGGACTCCCGGTAGCGAGATGCTAGGTATGGGGGGGTTTCCGAAAATAGGGGGCCCTAATGTAGTACCCTGAATAATAGGATCCTTATTATAAGGACCCCAAAATAAGGTACCCCTAGTTTTCGGAAACTCCCATATGAGAAAAAGAGGAAGAAGCACAATTCAAAAAAGGCCGCAACCCTTTTGGACCCCCATGGCGCCAGACCCTAGACGCTAAACCGCTAGACGCTAAACCGTCTTCACCCTTTAAACTTTAAGGGAACCCATGTAGTAACCTCAAAACCCTGACCCCTAATGTCTAAGGGCTTTAGGAGGGACCCTTAATAGTAACCCTTGTAGGTTATAGGGGTTAATATGGAGACTACCTGGCTATATAAGGGGTATATAAGGACGATACCATGGTTATGTCAGGTAATGGGATTAAGGGTCCCTATTGGGGGTCCCTCCTAAAGTCCTTAGATAATGGCAACCCTAAGCACGACATCCTAACACCCTAAAGCTCACGGTTTAGGGTTTAGGGTTTAGGGTTTAGGGTTTAGGGTTTATGCATGCATCCATTGCGGACCGTCCCGAAGCGACCACTTGAGGACTTTAGGGTTTAGGGTTTAGGGTTTAGGGTTTAGGGTTCAGGGACCCTCAACCGTTGTAGAAACCTCAAACCCCCAGGGGCCCAGCCTCCACGGCCGCCTTGCTCACCATCACGTCCCGGCTCTCCATGCGCTTCCTAGACCAGGTTTGGGCTTCAGGGTTGTTAGGGCTCCCGTTCTGTAGGTCTTAGGGTTTAGGGTTTAGGGTTTGGATATTAACTGGAACCCAGAGCCTCGAACACCCTGAACCCTGGGCTTGCGTAGACCCGAAACCCTGAATCCTGGACTAGACGACCCTATCAACTCTAGATCCTGAAACCCTGAACCCGAAACCCTGGCACGTAAGGGGTCGGAGGACTTAGTTAGAGAGTATTTTTACAGAGTTATAAGCCCCAACTAGGATCCCTCTTGGGATCCCGCGACCCTCCAAGTAAGGACCCTGAAACCTTAACCCTCAAATCTTGAACCTCAATTTCTGGAATCCCGCTTGCAGAAATCTGACGCGAGAAGCGAGCCCCCCAACCCGAAAAGCAAAGTTGGTTTAGGGTTTGGGGGCTTAAAAAGGGTCTAAGGTTAGGATCTAGGATGTGGGGGCTTGGGGTTTAGGGCTGAGGGGTTTAAATAGGGTTTAGGGTGGGAATCAACAAAAAGCCAAGGACTCTTAACATAGTGGCTGCTGTAATCAGAAACAGGCTTTGGGAAACACAAACAGCCTAACTATATGGCTGCTAGAGGGGGCTATTGGCGTTAATTGCTCAGACATCTTTGTGGCAGTTCTTCTCTTTCAGGCTTCAGGGATCTGCAGCTTAGGTCCTTTAGTGCTTGGAGGGTCAGGTGACGTAGTAAGTAAGGCCTGAGGTGCCTTAGCCGGGTCACGAGACCAATAATGAGAATTTAAAGACCGGAGGTACGATCCGAAAGACAGAACGGAGCAAGACTCATGGAGTGGAGGAGGGCATAGAAACTGCATGAATACACCGTAGGGGCCTTAATAATTATAGTAGGGTTTTGGGGCCCATTATACTTACATGATAATGAGGAACCCCCAAAATGGTACAGGTAATTATTGAGGCCCTTATTTTAACCGAAACCTGCAACAGTCATATAGCCCATAGAAGTCACAAGTTGCTCTTCCTGGGAAACGCCTGCAGCATAGATCACAGGTGATCCCTATCTGCATTACCAGGCACAAAGGCCTCATTAGCAGCTTGGACCTGCCGAGCATCTCGCAACTGCTCCCGCACTGCACTACTGTCGCCACCGCCGAAGATGGCATCACCCCAGGTGACCACGGATCCATCACCCAAGATTGCAGCAAATGCACATCTAGAAGTTTGGATCTGCTGCACATTCTTCAGCTGCTCCTCTACGGTACTGCTGTCGCCACCGTAGTCGGGGTCACCCCAGGTGACCACGGATCCATCACCCAGGATTGCAGCAAATGCACGACCAGAAGCTTGGATCTGCTGTACATCTCGCGGCTGCTCCTGTACCGCACGGCTGTCACCACCGCAATCGGCATCACCCCAGGTGCCCACAGATCCATCACCTAGGATTGCAGCAATTGCATTTTCAGAAGCTTGGATCTGCTGTACATCTCGCAGCTGATCCTGTACCGCACTGCTATCCCCACCACAGTGGGCATTACCCCACGTGACTACAGACCCATCACCGAGGATTGCAGCAAATGCATCAATCGAAGCCTGGATCTGCTGCACATCTCGCAGCTGCTCCTGTACAGCACTACTGTCCCCACCGCAGTAGGGATGACCCCAAGTGACCACAGATCTGTCACCCAGGAGTGCAGCAAATGCACCAGCAGAAGCTTGGATCTGCTGCACGTCTCGCAACTGATCCTGTACCGCACTGCAGTCGCCACCACGGCGGGCATCGCCCCAGGTGACCACAGATCCATCACCCAGGATTGCAGCAAAGGAAACAGGAGAGGCTTGGATCTGCTGCACATCTCGCAGCTGATCCTGGACCGCACTGCTGTCGCCACCATGGTCGGCACTGCCCCAGGTGACCACAGATCCATCACCCAGGATTGCACTAAATGCATCAACCGAAGCCTGGATCTGCTGCACATCTCGCAGCTGCTCCTGTACAGCACTACTGTCGCCACCGCGGTAGGGTTGTCGGCACCGGCCTCCAGCAGCAAACGGAAGTTCTGCGTCTTCTGCTGGAGGCCGAGGCCGACGTGAACTTTGGTGGCAACGAGGGCGAAGCAGCGATGATGTCAGCTTCTTCAAGAGGCCACATCGAGTTTCTGAGAGAGCTTCTGGATGCCGATGGCGATACGAATTTATGTGATATCCACCCCAAGTGACCACAGATCCATCACCCAAGATTGCAGCAAATGCACCATCAGAAGCTTGGATCTGCTTCACATCTCGCAGCTGATCCTGTACCGCACTGCTATCCCCACCACAGTGGGCATTACCCCACGTGACCACAGATCCATCACCCAGGAGTGCGGTGAATGCACCATTCCTGGTGGCTTGAAGCTGGACTTGGTTCACATGGAGGGTGAGCACGTCTCCAGTTTTCAACTTCGCTTCGGTGATAGTTTTAGCACCGTCAAGCAGCTCTCCAGAAGAATTCAGCAGCCGCCCTCTACTCGGGACTACCAGAGCATTGCAGGCGCGGCGCTTCAATGATTCAACAGATGCCTCCGCCTCCACTTCCACAGAGGCATGCTTGCCGCTCAGTAGATGCACATCCACTGAAATCGACATTGAAGGGTAAAAAATTGCAAGACTGAAGACTACAGCTTCCTGGATCAGTACTTGTACTTCTACAAAGTCCTTAGGGTTTAGGGTTTAGGGTTGAACCCTACCGCCCGTGGCAAAACCAGCTCGTCTGAATCATTTTGGAGCCCACGAACCCACCGTCTCTGCTGCATTCCTGCAGCATCATGATGCAAGCACGAACAGTCTCCTCAGCCCCTCATCCCAAAATCCTAAACCCTAAACCGACTTCAAGCTGCACCGATGGAAGCTGAATGAAAGGTTGAGATAACCCTACCTACTAAGCCCCCTGATGCTTTAAGTGGCACGTAGAACTTACGAAAAAAAGGTCCAGGAAACCGTCCCTCTATCCCGAACCGTGACTGTCGCAGCCATACCAACAACACCAGCACGGCACTACCACTGCTGATCATCACCGTCATCATCGGTTTAGGGTTTAGGGTTTAGGGTTTAGGGTTTAGGGTTTAGGGTTTAGGGTTTAGGGTCATGAACATCCGCAGCAATAGCATGGTTGTGATAAACTGCCGTCTTCACATCCTGCCTGGGTGTCCGACATCAAAAGGCCGAACCCACTGCGATGCCACCTCCCCTCGTTACAGCCCAAGCCCGAAACGCTAAACCCTGAAACCCCTAAACCCCCAAACCCCTAAATGCTAAACCCCTAACCCCTAAAACCCCTAACTAAACCCCTAAACCCCTAAACCCCTAAAACCCCTAAACCCCTAAAACCCCTAAACCTCTAAACCCGTAAACCCTAGAAGCTAGAAATTGGAGACTTCAATCCTCAACCCCCCATGCTCGGTATGTGAAGGCTCACTCGAGTTTTCCCGAACATGGGAGGCCTAATGTAGGGGCCCACGGTTTAGGGTTTAGGGTTTAGGGTTTTTTTGGGGGTGGGCTCCTTATTATGATTGTGGTATCATGGGCCCCAAAACCCAACTCTAAGCATTAAGGCCCCTATATTTAGCTTGCGCTTTAGTAATGTAGGAACCTGATTGAGAAACCTCGGCCCTACAACCCCAAATGCCTACCCTCCCTAAACCCTAAACCCTAAACCCTAAACCCTAAACCCTAAACCCTAAACCCTAAACCCTGAACCTTACGCCTGTAGCATACGACAACCACCGAGCCCCTTCGAAGAATAGCGAGGCCTGAGGAGTTTCAAGCCGCTTCCCGAAACAACCTCACAAGGGGTTTGGGGTTGGGGTTGAGGCTTTAGGGCCTAAAGGGTTTAGGGTTTAGGGTTTAGGGTTTAGGGTTTAGGGTTTAGGGACTAAAGCTCTTAGGGTTAAGGCTTCGGGTTTAGGGTTCGGGGCTTGGGGTTAAGGGTGGCCTTTCGGGTTCAGGGTTGAGGGTAGCCTTGGGCGTCAGTGCACTAGCGGCTTTCGCGCCGGACCCTATCTTATCTTCGAATTGATAGTGAAGGCCCGAAAGCCCTAAACCCCTAAATGTCAAAGCCTATTTCACGAAGGGTTCTATGGTGGTTTGTGGGGCTTTTGATTCTTACTAATTGGAGTTTGGGTGCAGCTTTGTGTGTCGACAACATCCGGGCCTGTGGGTTTCAAACATTGGGCTCACATCCGGGCCTGTGGGTTTCAAACATTGGGCTCACTGCTGGCGCACGAGAAAGAGCAGTCATAATGCAACGAGTTGCTTTTCGGTATTTTACCGAGCACCGCCTGCTACAGGCGGTGGTGCAAGTGCGGTTGATCTGCTTCACTCGCACGCCCAACGTCAAGATGCAAAGATGTGTAATTTCGTTTGAAGTTGTACATGTGCATGTCAACAACAGAAACACATGTGTATGTATGTGCGTCTGTATATGTAAATACACCTAACATATATGCAGTCACATACACAGTGGCATTAGGGCAGTTGGCGGGTTTTTTGCCTGTCAGTGCAGGAGAAGCAGCGTTGGTAGGTTGCGGTGGTGCAGTTTTCGGAGCATGGTGTGCCACTAGTGTCAGCGTGAGAGGACCAATCGGGTCATACGACCATGGTCATCTTTGGCATCTTCATGACCACGCTGCTTGCCAGACTTCATGTTGTGAAGGGCCGTGAAAGCCTGTGGATGTTTCGGGTTGCGTGCTGCTCGCCGAGGATCATGATCCTCCACTGGAGCCTTTTCGTGTGCCTCACCGTCGAAGCACTGAAGAGGTGAGCGCTCTGCGGAGCCAGTCGCAGGGAACTGCGACTTATATGTGCGATGGTTGATTTTCTTCTTTAGGGTTTTGGTTGTTGTCAATGCTTGGACCCTACAGCGGCTGTCCTGTCTGGACAGGTCCGCCAATCGCGACCGTTTCTTCCTGTTGGTCACGCGCTTCCTGTTCTTCCGCTTCAGGACCCGGCGATTTTCGGGGTGGGTGGCATGGGGGATTACTCAAAAAGAGGAGTAGCACGTACGGCTGAGGGGTTTTAGAAGTTCATGTTTTGGGGGTTGATCAAAGGATCAAGAGACTTGCTAGGTTGGTTGTAAGTGGCATGGAATGAAGGACGACCCCACTGGGATACTTAGAACACAAGAGGGTCCTTTCCTGCGCAATTTGCAATTTCCAGCTGATCTGGCCCCTTACGAAGTGCGTCCTCTGATCGTCAGAGTACATCTTTTACATCTCTAGACAAGTTCGTGAAACTTGAAGCGAAGGTATGCAGCTGACTTGCCACCCTCGCGTTTCACACACTAGCTGGTCCCACAGTCTACACTGAGAACATGTTATCTGCGAACATGGATTGTTGGGTCTTCGGTCTCACAGTAGAGAAGATAAAGCATCCTGATGCAGCAGCCTTACGCAACCCCGATAAATTAGGGTCCGGCACCTTTAAACCAGAAAACCCTAAAAGGAAACCTAATGTAGAAACTACCCATATACCATGTGCCGATTGCTCCGATTGGCTACCCTCACAGCTCTGAAGATTTCAGCACCCTGCAAAAGTCCAATCGGTCTGCGAATGCGCCCGCAGATGCACAAGCCACACGCAATGTGCTACCAAACTGCTTTCCATCTTCCCTACCTTGCTCCTCCTCCCCTTCATTGCCTTCCTTTCCTTCCATTCTTTCTCCCTGCTCCTCGGGTAAGCAACCCAATTTTGACAGCGTAGACCCCAAACAGTGCAAGACCACCAAAATAACTACAGAGCCTCAACCTAAACCTATACTTTAACTCAACATTAGGGTTTAGGGTTTAACAAACTATACTAGGGTTCCTTAGGTCCCTTTAAGCCACTATGATAGGGTTCCTTGGGGCCCGTTTCGTCGGGAGTTTCCACGATCCGGGGACCCTAGCATCGATCCCCGGATGATAAGTCAGTTAGGGTTTTAGGGTTTAGGGTTCAGGGTTTAGGGTTTAGGGTTCAGCAGCTCCGGATCGAGCAGTGTTACAGTGTAGCTGTTTTCACGGT